GACTCGGGATTTCTCAATTGAGAGTAGCAGATAAGACATCATGAACTAGCTAAGGAGAAAAAAGGGACCATGACATTGACATGAATGAGAAACCAAAGTCTCATGTGATCCAAGCTGACCGACACAGTGGACTCTGTCATGACAGTTTCCTCCCCCAGAAAGGAAGATTTTGTTGTACTTCCCACAAAATCTTATATCATCACCTAAACAGGTTCCTGTTCTTTACAGCTATCAGTCTCTGATAAAATGTGTTTTAAAATGATATTATTTACAACTATTGTTTCATACAAAAGGTTCTTTTCCCACCCTGGATGACAACGTTACAGGTTGAGCATCTCTAATCTGTAAATCTAAAATCTGAAACTGTCTCAAAACCCAAACTGATCTTTAGCTTGTACAAGTGACAAATTCCTGCCTAACCTCACAAGCCTAGCATTTTAAGAATCTGTATAAAATAACTCACAGGCTATTTAAATAAAATGTATATGAAACAAATAATTTCTGGGTTTAAAATCGGATCCTATCCTAAGATGCCCTACTATGCATGTGTAAAATTTCCAAAATAAAAAAGTTTGGAATACTTCAAGTATTTCTGAGAAGGATATTCAAAGACTGCAGTGTGTCACACACTGAACAGTCCATTAGCTTATGTAGCTGAGAAGTATGCTATTTATTTTCCTACTGAGATCAAAACTTGTGTGTGGACATTATTTCTAGTTACCAGATAACAGATGACAAGGGGTGGGTTATCGCTTACTTTATACAAACTGAAATTAATAATTTGAAAATACTTTATGCATTTTTTCAAATACGTTTGGAAACACCATTGAAGTTCTCTGCATCCTTGTGGGTGACAGAGAGGCATGAGACTCCCTGTCAGTTTTGGAGCCTCCCGTCCTCTAGCTACTTAATTGTGGCTCAGTTCATTCTTTAAATTTTCTAAGCTTTATTGACCCAAATTGCAAACAATAAAAACATAACACACACATACACCATTGGGAAAAAAATTGGATGTGGTAGTGTACACCTTTCATCCCAGTGCCTGGGAGGGAGAGGCAAGAGGATCTCTGTGAGTTCTAGGCTAGCCTGGTCTACAGAGTAAGTCCCAGGACAGCCAGAGCTACACATTGAAACCCTGTCTCATAAGAAAGAAAGAGATGGGGGAGGGAGGAAGGGAGGCGGGAAGGGAAGGGAAGGAAGGAAGGAAGGAAGGAAGGAAGGAAGGAAGGAAGGAAGGAAATACAACACACCAAAATTAACCAGAGTCTCAAAGTCCTTATAACTCAAGGAACTTCTTTATAGTTACAATGGACATTTGGAACAGAAGCTGTGACACTTCAATTTAAACTTTGCATATTCAGTTTTGAATATATTGTATGCACTTTCCTACCACCAAAACCAAAAAGATTCATTACACTCATCAGAAGTAAAAAACCTGAATGGAGGTAAAGGACACAAGTCATGAAAGAGGATACAAAGTTTTTATTTTTCATTGTGTTCAAGGGGTACAATTTTCTCCTCAGAAACATTGTCCTAAGACCTGTAAGAATGTTTATATTGCACACACAATGTTCTATGTCTTCCTCAGGTAAATTAATAGAAAAAAGGCACAAATGTAGGCTACTGAGTACAGTGACCCTAAGGACATATATTGCAACACACTGTAATGTATGGTGAACGGAATGCTATTTTGGAGGCATCACCTAAGATGTTTTCATACAAATGCTACAGCTAAGCAAGTTAGAGGGCAACCTGGGCTACATAAGACTGTCTCAAAACACCAAAGTTAATTAACTTAAAAGTAATTTTTTTGGTTTTTCGAGACAGGGTTTCTCTCTATTGTTTTGGAGGCTGTCCTGGAACTCTCTCTGTAGACCAGGCTGGCCTCGAACTCACAGAGATCCGCCTGTCTCTGCCTCCCAAATGCTGGGATTAAAGGTGTGAGCCACCAACACCTGGCAACTTAAAAGTAATTTAAAAGACCATTGGAGACAAGATCAGGATGAGTAGTACATGTTTAGGGTAAAAGAAGGAAGGAAGGAAGGAAGAAAAAAATCTTTGCTTAGAAGCACAAACATGGAAGTAAGCTTATGAAACATTTACTGATTCAGTGATTCATAAAATCAAGAGCTTAAGACTCCTGAAACTCTTAGGAACTGCTGAAAATTACAAGGCGATTTTAATAATAGTTCCAAATGCCATTCAAGATGTTTACAAACCTCTTTTATATTGCAACTTTTTCTATCAGCCCAACTTGGATAAAGGAATAGTGTAAGTGCTGATATAGTTTAAGACTGATATCAGATATTTGGCTTGGACTATTATTTCATGTATTATTTATGGATTTCAAAGGTCATGAATATCTAAAAATTAATTTGGTAAACTGACAATATATTTTAGCCAGCTGTTAAAACTACTTGAAAACTATTTGGCCTTGAGTATGTAAGCTGATGCCTTGTGCCTAATGGATATTTATTTACAGGATTTTCATCAGTAGAGATGGTTGCTGTCATAGACTGTGAATGAAAATATTCATAACTAAGTACGGACTCTGAGAGAAGGAGGTATAGTCCTTTGCTCTCCCATGTTTTGAAGGTCGTACCAATCCTGCCCCAGGAGTATTTACAGAGATAGCAAGTGAAGAAGTAACATATTATCTCATTAAGGAAAAACAAAGTTGAGGAGTAATGTTCAGTGTTCTAACAGATGACAACTGAATATTAAAATCTACCATTTTTCTGCTCAACTTTTCCAGGCCATTTGGTTACCTGGGTATTGACTGGACAAAATAATACTGATTCATTATCCTGGGAAAATATGCCAAAAATCAGACAGTACGCCATCTTCCAGTCAGCCATTTTATTTCATTTTTCATGGGGTTTCTTTTGGCAATTTTTAAAAGCAGATATAAAAATTTCAACCATAATGTCTACTCACAATTTCCATTGTCAGGTAACTAACAGGCTTGATATTTCAACTGTACACGGGGCTTGGCATAGATTTGAAGGTTCCTTTTGCCCTTCACGGATAGAGCATGTGCTATCCATGACAAGCAATGTTGTGTGACACCCAATTCTAGCACTAAGGTCTTTGCCCAGGCAGGGGGATTAATTTCTTAGGCACTTTGTGGAGAAATTCAACTACAGGTCAGCTACATCCAGACTACATTTGAGTTTGAGTGCATAATCATTATATGTAGGGAGAAAGTGGCTGAGAACTACTTTTTTTTTTAAACTTTCAAAATCAAATGTCATTTTTAGAATTATAACTGGAGAGCTGGGCACATGCCATAAATCCCTTGTCATTTGGGAGACAGAGGCAGGGAAAGAGTGGGAAAGTCCCCAGTGATGCTGGAAATGCTGGCATTTGTCTTTTTATGTCCCAGTCAAGATTGCTGTTCCCATCTTAACTGCAGAGTAGGTGCCTCTCAAAGTCAGCTTTTCTAGTTCCCAAGGAATTCTGGGAGACTAATGGGGACACAGCTGAGGGCCACAAGGCTGTCTTCACTGCCTTATCCTTGGGCAGACAAGCCTGTGATGTAAAGACAGTTTCACCCGCGACAACGCTGGGCAGCTGTCGTGCCCCTACAATTAAGTGGAAAAGTAAAATCGCGTTACAGCACATCCATACAAGGGCTCTCCTTCCTACTAAGCAACTTGGACGCGTTATTATAAAGAGCGCACTCTCCTCACAAAGCTGATCTTCCAGCTTTGTGTGTGTTAGGGGAGGGGCAAAAAATAAGCACAAGACAGCATAATTAATATGTGTGGCATGTTATCATGCTGGAGGGTGATAGGTGCTACTAAGAAAAATAAGACAGGGAGGCAAGGGTTGTCTGAGGCAGGTCAGCAAAGCCTCTGTCTGGCCTTTATTCACATCTGAGCAAAGTCAAGGAGGCCAGGGAGGGAGTGGCCCTATCTAGGCATTGGGGGAGAGAATCTCAGGAAAGAACACCCAATGTAAAGGCTTAGGCAGAGAGCGCCCCCCGCCCCGCCCCCAGTGTTGGGTGAAGAACAGCAGAAACACAGAAGCCCAGAGTGGGGAGTCAATGAGTGGAAGAGGCCAAGAAGAAGATGCTAGAATGTTCTAAGGGTGATCTGAGAGGCACAGGAAGCCATCGAAGCAGAGGAATCACATGACAGCATGTTAAAGGCATTCTTTTTCAGTAGCCCTGGGAAAGGCTCCATCAAAAGGAGCCAAAAGACAACTCCGCTAACAGGTGTCTCAAAGTTTGCAGCTACGGAAAGGGGGAGGTTTGAACCCTGGTGGAATGAGGGTTTGGGTGACGCGACGGTTTTAGGACGCAACCGCTTACAATACTCTGGTCCTTCTTCTGTGGCCTTAGGTCCCTCTCCCACGAGGGCCAAGGCCCAGACAAACTGTTTGCCTTGTGACCGCGGGACCTCTCCACCTGCTAGAGTTGTAGGCATCGGGGAATGTTTCTCTTCCAACCAGAGCGTCAGGTCCAGCTCAGAGCGGACTCATCAGTATTCCGCCCGCGGAGTCTCTCCCCGCCCCCGCCCTGCATCAGGGCTTCTGCCTTCCTCGCTGAGACAGTCCCCTGAGGTCCGCGCAAGCCCGTCGCCCCGCCTGTCCCCTTCTCCCTTGTCCTCAGCCCACCCATCATCGGCGCTTGCCTGGGGGCCTTTGCCACCAGCGCGCCTGTGCTAAGCCTCATAGACTTTGCCCTAAGGTGGTGGCGGCCATAGTCTGCAGACTGAAGAGGGGGCGCCTTGGGCCCAGCTCACAGGCCACACCGACTGGCGGGGGAGACCCACGCTAAAACATCCCTGCAACCGCTCCCCGGAGACACTCAACTTCCGTGCATCGCATCAAATGTCCCCCGAGCCTCCTGCAATGCACCAGATCGCAAGGCAGACGCCAAAGGCACCTGCACTGCGCCCCCACTGGGATGCGCTGTGACCCTAAGAGGGACGGAGTACTGCAAACCTGGAGGGCCCAGGGCGCGGGAATTCAGGGGTGGGTTGTGGAGGACTCACCTTGTGCAGTTTCCACATGGCCCCCAAAGCCTTGACTTCGTGGCTGGAGTGTTTGCCCTCCTCCAGGCACTGGTAGCACACCGGCATCTTGCACTGCACGCAGTACATGCTGTGGTTCTCCAGCTCGTGGTCTGTGCAGGTGGAGACCTTGCGCGGGCTCAGCCGCCGGCTTACGCGACCCTGGGCCGGGGGCACCAAGCGGTGTTTGGCTAGGGGCCCCCGCGGGGGGTGGCAGCGCAGGCGACAAGGGTCGCAGTAGAAGACGTCGCACTGTTCGCACATGACCGTGGCCTCTTTGGGCGCTTTCTCGCAGAGCTGGCACTTGAGGGCCGCGGCTTTGCTCTGTTGGTAGCGGTCGATGACCCCTTCCAGGACGCGGTTCTTGGGGAAGCCGCGAAGGCCCCGGTCATCCAAGATGAGGCTGCGGTGGCACTGGGGACAGGTGATGCAGGAGTTGCGGGGCACCGGGGCCAAAGCCGGTGACAGGTGGGTGGGCGGTGGCGGCATAGCAGGGGGGAAAACACGGACGCCGTTGGGCGACTTCTGGCACGGGGTAGTGGGGGCGCTGGCGAAACCTCCGTAGGAGCCATAGCCGCTGTCCGCCTCGCTGTACAGGCTCATCTTGTCCAGGTCCAGATAGTCATAGTCGGAGACCCCAGAGCCCGAGGCCCGGCGGCTCTGGGGGGACTCGGACTCCGGGGTCTGCACCAGGATGTTGCGGGCGCACGCCTGACATAAATTGTGAGAGCAGGGCAGAATGATGGGCTCCCGATAGAAGGAGCCGCACACAGGACATTTTAACTCTTCTTCCATCTCTTCCATGGGGACCTGGCTGGAAGCGAGGCAGCAGCGGCTGCAGTAGAGGCGGCTTGATCCGGCGAAGCGACGGATGGGCCTGCGGTGTCCAGCACCTTGGCCAGCGGCGGCGGTGGTGGCGCCTTCCCGCGTCGCCTAGGCGCCGACTCCCCGCGTCGCGCTCTCTCTGCCAGCCGCTGAGCCTCCGCGCTGCGCGCCAGCCCGGGCCCGCCCCCTCCCGCGGTTAGCCCCGCCCCGCCAGGGAGCCGAGGCTCAGCGGCCGGCGACCGTGAGAGCGGCGTTCTCATTGGCCCCCCGCCCTGTCTGTCTCTTCTCCTCTGCAGGCCACAGGGGGCTCCGTGGAGACGGGGCTGCAGCCTCGGCTTCGCCTGCTGGCTGCTGCGGGATCTCGGGAGGGGCTTGGCGCGCGGGCCCGGAGGGAGGAGTGGGGCGAGATGATTCATCCCTCGCCCCGTTTCCTTCCGAGCTCGGGTGCCGTCACCCCGGAGCGGGGGGGCGTGAGAACCCCTCCCGGTCGCGAGTGGGCTGCTGCTGCCTGTCGCCTGCGCTTGGCGCTTGCCTTGCAGCTCCGGTCTGTGCGCCCACCCACCTCCCGCTAGCGCAGCGCAACGCAACGCGGAGGATGCCCCTTCTCCTTCCGCTGCTGGCAGCCAGCGAGCAGGCACCTCCCCCGGGCCTTCCTGGAGGCATTTGGGTTTTTCTCCGGCTCCCAGAAGCAGCTGGAGCGCTCGCGTCCCTGGAGTCTGAGGGAGCTGGTTGCGCGCCATGGCTACAGTACCCTCTTCCTGCGTCCCCGGTAGCTTTTCCCCCTCTCCGAGGCGAAGGCTCAGCATTCCTCCAAAGCTGTGCCACCACCATCGTCGTGTTTTAAATGTGGGGGAGGCCCCTACGCCTTGGAGTAAAGGTACCTCGGTCCCTCTGCCCCTCCCAGCCTCCTAAAGGTCGCCCCTCAGCATCCGGCTGGGTTTTTCAAGGGGCCTCAGGAATGTTGTGTTGAGGCAGGCATGGTTTGTGTTATTTCTGAGCATCTAACATTTGGTAACCAGCTGTGAGAACGAACCACTGTGAGACTGCAGATTCACAATGTTTGATTCCAAACAACATACCCAATGTCACATGCCCTGAGCAGCTACCATAAATTCCAGAAAGGGGGGCGGTGTCTTTTTCCGCTTCTGTGAGGTGAAGAGGGATTTAATGATAGATAGCCCTTACATACTACCAGGTTTCTCTTTTCCCCAAATCTTGCTAGACATAATGGGTCCTGCCCCTTGCCTTCATAACCCTTTAGATGACAAGGACGACAAGCTTTGAATCAAGCTATCAGCCTGTTAATCAATGGCAGAATCTTAGAATCCAGTGACATTCCAAGGAAGTCATTTTTCTTGGGAGCATACATAGTTGATTTTCTGAGTGATTCATGAAGCAAATGACAAAAATCCTCTTCAAGTTCCATGGTCCAAATTTTCACCTTCCAAGAAGATAACTTGATTATTCATAGCTACATTTATAATTTAAAAGCAATTTTTGCCTAGGGAAAAGAAGTAACTTCTATACTCTTATCTTTGGAGTAATAGTACAAAAAACTGGATTATCTTGAAAATGTATTTTTTTAGTACAATGACAACAGTAGCTGGTCATTGGTTATGTGGGAGGAAAACTCACATTGTTATTTAAAACTGTTAGTCACAAATCCTACGGGGTTTATTTCTAACCCAGATTTTAATTAGTTAAGAACCGAGCTGCTAAAAGTATATGCAGTCTGTTTATTTCTTCAGGTGTGATTGGAGCATTATCTATATTTTACAGGATACATATACTCTATTAGTCCAAAGATACTTTGCTCATATCAAGTAGTTCATTCTTAAGAAACTGGTAGAAAGGAGTATCTGTGCCCTTGCAAATTACAGTCATGGGATTTTGCATCCCCTGAACAAGTCAGAGAAGCCTTGGTTAGCAAAGTGTAGAAGGGCTGTCACTCATTTTTCCTGGGCCTCAGCTTTGCTTATCACCATGTAAGAAGTCTGGTGATTAGCAGAGAGGTTGCTCTTGGTTCACAGGAAAGGATGGTCTGAGGGAAGGTCCACTGGTATGTATGATTCAGTGTCCGGTGCAAATAGCCTCAATACAATGCAGATTTATAGCACAGCCAATGCACAGTTGATCTATTAGGAAATTGCTTGAGGTGGATTAACTGTTAGATCTGTTTGGTCAGGAACTAGCTCATCAGTCATTCCTAGAGGGCGCTAAGAATGACTGTCTTTTGTTGGGAAGTCCCATCTTCAGGCATCATGACTAGAGTCAATCCCTGTAATAAACACACCTAGACACAGTTATCCCCATGTTTCAGACTAGTGAACTGAAGCTAAGAAAACATGCTAGCGTAACCTTTTAAGAGCTGATACTGATGAGGTTAGGGTTTGGAGTCAAGAGGAGGAGAGGTTGAAGTTCCTTTAGTGCATTCTCCAAACAAATACTGAGTTGTAGTCTGTCTGGTTCTGTGTGTAACAAAACCTGAAATGGTCATTGTTAAACTTTCGCTATCCTGCATACCTTCTCTGCAAGTTTACCATTTTTCTTGAATTCATTTCTCCATTTGTGTAGACCTTTGAAGATGTTCCCTCATGTTGCACTACTTGACCACAATGTACTTTAAAGCCCACCCCCAATTATCTTTGGAGGGGAATTTTAAAAAATCTGAATGCCATTGATGACATTATAGAAATGCCAGCCAACCAGTAGACTTAGTTTTCTGTTCCAGGTGATGATCCATCAAGCCCTGGGGTGCTGAGATTAGTGAGGTTTTATCATCCCTGGGGTAGTGACTGCAAAGGTTCTCATCTGAAAAGTGCCAAATGTGACTACGTGAAACTTCCTGTTCACCCAAATGATGCCTTTTAGCAATGAGTTGCACAAATTAAAAGTGCACTGGCAGCTTTTCCACTTTTGAAGAAAGTGGGTGAAACAGCATTGCTTTTGTATTTTTGTTTAACTGTAATGCTTGGTGACTAAGTCAGCATCTTCTTGGAGTCTGAAAAACCAACACAGTGAAGAAAGGATTTTCTGGAGTCTCCCCACATTCTCTTTTAGAGCCAGATTCCTGAATTAAGTCGGGAGATTCAAGTTGTAACTGGAATCCCAGGACAAGGTGGGGGGAAGGAATGATAAGGGAAAAAACACCACAGGGTGGGGGAATAATTTCCCTGATCCACAGAAATATCTGAGATTATAGACAGAATGAATTTTAGGCCTATACAAGACAGGACCCAACCATATACAGATAGAATTCCTGAAGTCTGAAGGAAAAAAGAGACAACTCCTTAAACAAAAATTAAAAGTGATTAATAATAAAGCAAAAGAAATAGAACTGTAAGCAAATGTGATGGGCTTAAGTCTCATTGAGTGCAAAGCCCAAAGCAAACATGATCAGAGAGCAGAAGAGATGTAGCACCTGAGGCAGGCCAGGAGAGTGCTGGGGTCATTCCTCAAGCAGTGCCTCACAGAAAGGAAGTGCGGGAGTTTTATTTGGGGAGACACATATTTGTATGGGAAAGCACTCAGGTGCAGACACATTCCCAGGCATGCTCAGTTAAGTCACAATTTCTGAATGTGCTCAATTTACGATCATAGAACAAGAATGACGGTGAACACATTTGAGGATGTGCTTAGTTTAAGGTCATGGAGCACACGTTAAACAGTTTAAAACAACATAGAGGAAAACTTGAGCATATTTAGCTTGCACTATAAAGATGTTAGATGCTCCCTGATATTCTTGCAGAGGTTTGTTTGTTTTAAGATGTATTCTCCTTCCCTCTCTGTCTGTCTGTCTGACTCTCTCTCTCTCTCTCTCTCTCTCTCTCTCTCTCTCTCTCTCTCTCTCTGTGTGTGTGTGTGTGTGTGTGTGTGTGTGTGTGTGTGTGTGTGTGTGTGTAGGGCAGTGTGGGAACCCTTGCTGAAACTACAGGAGTGTTGGGGAAGTCCTGTTATTTGCCTGTGCATTTGTCAATAAAGTACTGTCTGGCCAATAGAAAACCTAGATAGGAGGGACTAGGAGTCGAGGAGGATTCTGGAAGGGGAAACACAAGAGAGTCAACATGTGACGCCATGGGGGTAGGACGCCGGGAACTATTCTCCGGTAAGAAACATACTTAGATTAACAATTATGGGGTAATTACTTAAGGCAGAGCTAGCCAGTAAGAGACAAACAAGGCCAACAGCTTCATAATTAATATAGCCTCCTGTGTGTTTATTTGGGACTCATGCGGCTCTAGAACCAGGCTGGCGCGGCAGAGCCCAGGCGACTGGCGGGGGATAAACCAAAGCGGCTAGCAAAAGAAAAAGCTTCTCTTAACACAGGAGTCTGTGTGGAGCTGCCCGATGTGGAGTTCTGGGATTTAAACTCTCTTATTCTGACAGGAAAGTAATTGCTCTTACCTGCTGCCTTTGCTCTAGCCCTAAACTTATAACTGAAACAAAATGAAAGGATACTTCGAAGATGCTGTAATATGGACAGTTCCCTGTAAAAATCCCTGCCTCACTTAGCAGCTAACAATATTTGGCACTTGACTTTTTTGAAACACCCTTAAAACCAAAAAGAATGTGAAATTAATCACATAGTCTCCCGTTTAGTGCTGCCATACAGAAGGGGTAACTTACGATAAAGAGAAATTAACTGGCTTGCTGATCTGAAAGCTGAGAGGCTGCCTCTCATAGCATCTGATGTGAGCCTTCTTGCTGTGTATCCCATGAAGGAAGGACAAAAGTGGGCAGAGGCAACACAGGGCTGACTAGGCTCCTACTTTTAATATGAAATCTGTTTCTGCCATACGGAAATCTCCCCACACAGCAGTGTCTCCATGACCCCATACCTCCTAAGGGTTCCCAGCATCTCCTTATTAAGGATCAATTTTTTGCAGGACAAGAGTTTTGGGACACACTGTCAAATCATAATACATGTTAAGCATTTTCTTTTAGCTAGGAGGCTATTACTCAGGCCGAAGAAAGAAATTTATAAGATTTCAGGGAACATAGCAATCATAAATCTCATAAAAGAAAATGCTTGAAACAAGATTTAAATCACACAAAAGTCAATTTTAATTGCTTTTTTAAGATGAAGTTTCACTGTCTAGGATGGCCTTGGGAACTCACTGTGTAGCCCAAGCTTGCATCAAATGTGTTAATTC